TATTATTTTTACTACTCATGAGTGTTTTCAAGTCTACTCTGTTATGCCACCACCTTTGTAATATTTTTCTGCTTAGTAAAGTTGCTTAGTAATTCTGATGAAGCAATCATCATGAGATATAGATAGTGGAGTGATTGTGGAGTGAAAACAGTCACCTTTTTGTTTCATAGGCGTGAGTAGTGTTGGTTGATTGGTTGGTTGGTAGGCAAGTGTTATACAGCGTGATTCCTCTTCCGACGGGAATTCATTCAGCCTATCCAGTTTTTCGCTTATTCTTTTTTAGGGCGGCAAACGTTAAAGTGTGAAAGGCCTTCTTTATTGAAAAATGACGCCATAATTGATGACAATGCATATCAAACTTCTAACAGTAGATTGAGTCAACCGTGGTCATATTTATATATATGTGTGTGTGTATTTGACGATTAGTAAGTGCTATCAGTGGTGTGAGATGAAGACTATGCATTCTGAAGAGTTTTTGAGCTGAGATTGTTGTTTCGACACGTCGGGAAGACTGATGTTGTTCACAGTGTTTTGTGAATTAATCGGATTTCTATATTCAGGTTGTTTTAGGACGCAGATCAGTTGATATTTGATCGGTTTGTAATGTGTATCGCAAGTATTCGTCAAATATCCGAGAGACTGCATGCTTCTAGAATTTACACACAAGTACATGTTGTCTGGGTGTTGTAAGTTGATTAGTGAGTCGATGCGTCCGTTGACGTTTAGTCGTCTGTTGTGTCATGTTGAGCAATTCGTATTGGTTTCCGGATTGAATTCAGACGATACAAGGTATAAACCAATTACGTATTATTATGAGTCAAGATATCAGACGATTATCATTGTGAAGTCCATCTCAATGGTAATCCGAGCGAATAGACGACATTTTGGTGGATTTTTCACATGCAATGAGTCATTTCATGTATTGTACTTCAACTGGAAGTGTGAGTGGTTACTGGGGAATGATGAAGTAATACTTTTGTGTAGATATCTGCCAAATATAATGACCATTCCATTTAATAAAATGTTGATGCTTGTTGTGAGGAGGGAACAACATGTTATATGTAAGAAGGATATAAGAAATATCAGACAGTTGTGTGAGATTCAGTCTTCAAGTAGAATGGAGAAGGGAAATGGTTGAGAACTGTCCGTAAATTAGTATTTGTGAGCGTGTCTGAGAGAATGTTTAGGGATTTTGAGGGATTGGTTTCTTACAATAACCAGTCAACCAGGCAAGTGAATATTTAGTAATGAGTAAGTACAAAGTGATGAAATTTAATAAGGTGTGGTGAGAGCAGGCCGTGAGAAAATATGAGCAAGGCTGATTTAACAGCCAATCACAGTAAAGTTAACGTGGCAAAATATGATTCGCAGATAGAGAACTCTATTTGTCGAGGAATCCCGAAACAACCAATCAGAAGCCTGCGTTTGTCTGCCTAACTTCTGATAAACAACCAGTCAGATGACTGCGCTTGTCTACTTGCATAAGCTATAATAATGTATGTGAAATAGATATAAATACGTGTTGATTTTTATAATAAAACGATCTGTTGCCTGGCCCTTGTCTTCTGTTGTTACATTTGGTGTCGCTGCCTACCGACAAATGGAAAGCCTATGCCCTGCTGGTTTTGATGGAGACATATGGATCTTCGGGCAAGACTTCAAGGCTTCTGCGCAGTTGAGTGGCGTTCAAGATCTGTCAGCGATGAAGCTGCTACTTGGGACGCTGCTGGGAGGTCGGGTGAACGCAGAATATGAAAGTGTGAGCCGAAGTATGGACGAATGTTCGACAGGGTCAGGCAAACAGTTTCCAAAGTGGGAAGGACCACATATGGTCACTTCGAGATGGGATTACGCGGACACAATCGCAATGGCGAACAATGAGGGGCGCGTGAACATCAGCAAGCTCCAGAAATGGATACAGCGAGACAAGCCAACGATGACGCCTGCACCAAGTAGATCAAGCCGACTTCAGTCGCACGTATTTGACGGGGGGATGAGTGTGGTGAGAGCAGGCCGTGAGAAAATATGAGCAAGGCTGATTTAACAGCCAATCACAGTAAAGTTAACGTGGCAAAATATGATTCGCAGATAGAGAACTCTATTTGTCGAGGAATCCCGAAACAACCAATCAGAAGCCTGCGTTTGTCTGCCTAACTTCTGATAAACAACCAGTCAGATGACTGCGCTTGTCTACTTGCATAAGCTATAATAATGTATGTGAAATAGATATAAATACGTGTTGATTTTTATAATAAAACGATCTGTTGCCTGGCCCTTGTCTTCTGTTGTTACAAAGGTGAGTAACATGTGGTAATCTTTGTCCGACGTGTTTTACACACTACGCACCCAGTCAAGAGCGACAATATAGCTTATCGTGGGGAGTTTGCGTTATTAGAGATAAGTTGAACAGCGAAGATATATGTTACCTGTCATAGAATGAGATGTTTCATCGCAATAGCCTCTGCACAACAAGAAGTTACTCTACGTGTGTCATTGTTATTTCCAGTGTTATTAATACCACTTTAATCTTGATGAGCAGTTTGCGGTAACTGCATTCGGTATTCTGGCTTTTGTAATTAGGCAGTACTGTGTCCTATACGTAACACAAACCTTTGGCGGATGTTCGCAGTAGGATATCGAGATATCGTCTAGAGATATGGAAAGTGGAGAAGGCGAGAATGTTCTGGGAGTAACAAAATGGACAGACTCATTTTGGACATGTGCAGCAGTGCAACTTGCCACACTCCATGTAACACACAAGGGCAAATAAAGGAGAAGAAAAATTAGAAAAAAATGTGAGGGGGCAGGAGAAGAACATGGAGGCTTAGCGAGTGTCTAGGATATCTGAGGCTGAATGCATCCGCACTATTTAGAAAGAATTTGATGCGTATCACCATTAGTCTCAAGACACTGGATCTTAGGGTCTCTAAGATTCTAACTAGGAAGTGTACGCATCCCGACGTGTCAAGAATTTCAGAGACTGATGACGAGTCTTGGTTTGACCAAAGGTAATTCTTTTACAACCTAATCTTATGTTGGCTAACACTGCTGGTTAAGGACAGTTACACCTTGTCATATGCATAACGTGTCCTAACCATCTAAACGGATATATTCTCAAATCCTCATCACTTCACTACTAGCTTAAACAATACTCAGCATATCTCACCACTTAACACAGGGTATAAAGTGCAGATATCGGTGGTCAAATACCTCCGAGATTTTAATAACTTCCAACTCTAATGGCTGTATATCACAGTCATACAGGAAAACGAAGTGAACTGCTACTCAGTACGGACATCCTTCTCAAAAATGTGAAGTGGTCAACGCGTTCAATCACTCCACTCCGGATCTTCAACCAGTCCAGTTTCGCGGCATATTACATTTGACAAGAACGAATCGCATGACAAACATCCGAAGATTTGTGGTCAATTAGTTCAGGAGACTCTGAAGTGTGTCTGTGTCTCCACGTGGGTGGATAATATCATCCGATTACCCTAAGTTAACAAGACTGTTCCTTGGTAGCAAGTCAGTCTCTGAGTCGCCTACTTCAGTTAGGGTGACGGAATTAAACCAAAATCAGGACTGTCGATATCCATGACGTACAAAACTGGTTACCATCACTTCAGATAACAACTCTCCACGAGCACTTAAACGGCTGTATGAGTTCGGTTAGATTGCTTCGATTCGTGAAATGTAATTTCTCAGCTCTTCGTTCACAGCCGAATGTTGCCACACCAACTCTCGGTCAACTGAGTTGAATCCCACCTTCTGATCAAGAAATACGTCAAGTGCTGGACGCCAGTAAATATGACTATGTTACAGGATATGTATGGGGGTGAATAAATGGTTAGTACAGCCTCTCACTGGCAAAGGTCTGCCTGCCTATCTACTTGTCTCTAGTTCGTTTCTGCCGAGTACCACTTAGTCAGTGCATGATTACTGAGCCTAGAACTGCAGAAAAAATTGTATTGAAGCTAATCCCCCTATGATTATTACAGGAAATCTTGTCTCCCTTCTTATAAACTGCGACAATCAATGACTCAAATCATTTTAACCAGACTACCTCTCATTTTCAAACAATGCACCTAGACAACAGTTGGTCATCACTTCTAGAGTGATTCACACTTGGCTTCTGCTGCCATGTTTTGGATCACAAACAACCTTTGTAGCCCTAGTTACACTTGGAGCTGAGATGTCTACATTCCATTCACGTAGGTGTTGGATGACGGACTAATTGATTGTGACTGTAAGCCAGTTATATTGCCCCTCAAAATATCCCCTTTAGCGTCCAAGTCATCTATCTTAGGAGCTATTTAAGGTTCTGCTTTCCTCGGAGATTTCGTTACCTGCAGTTGTAAAACATATTATTTGCTATAGCATTATACACCTTGATTTTATTCAGCCTTCACTATTGATGTGTACTTTAGCTCCATTTTACCGCTGTTATTTGTTTAGTTGGGACTGTCAACGCTGAAGAAAAATACCATGAAGTGCTGAATAATATAACTTCTACACAACCACCGTAGTGAACAGGTGGCGTCTTTTAGATAAGTCATGGTGATTGTAATATCTGACTTCCCTTTTTATCGACTATCCGATCTCAATAAATCTCGATAGTGACCCCAACATCCTCCATGCCAAATAAGCGAAACTGCTGTCCGTTGTTTAGTTCACCTTTATGTGATTAGCAATCACTGCTGGTTGAAGAGTTTAGTTTCTTAGATCTATTCCTATCAAGAATTAAATGAAACTGTCTCACGGTTTTGCTTTATTTCCTGATACCATTCGCTGTATCAGTAAGCTCACAGACTGTAATCTGCATACAGATATTATGTCTAGTGAAGAAACTTCACTGAAACTGAATTGTAGCAATCTGGTCAGATTATTCGAAATGTGTTAAGCAGAGGTGGATTACATTTCTCCTTTTTTTCTATTTCGCATAACAAACAAACAGACCACTGTAGTCATTTTATGCCTTCAGATTCATCTGTCTCAATGCATTAAAAAGGAGTAGAAACAAAGTTAACGGATGATTGATGTCTACTCTTCATCTCAGCATATTCCTGCTTTTTGTTCAACTTCAAGTACTCTGAAAACAGAAAAATGAATATGCAAGCGGTTTATGAATTTAATACATCCTAGTAGAAATTATGTACTTATAAATTGCGGTTAAGCATATATATTTAATTCACATTCGTTGAGCATTCCAACTGTGTCTCTGTCTGTGCGTGTCTGTGAATCTACGCAATTTTGTATTTGTATTGAAAACTACAAAAAAGGCATTTCGAAGATCTTCCTATTCTATATTCTAAAATTCACATTGTACACCTGATATTATATTGAGTCAGCATTATATTTCGATTGTAATTTCCTGACACAATTGACTCGGGTAAATAATAATACAAGATTAGTTTTCCGCTTATCAAGCGAACTCTGCATACAGAGTTTTCCCTTGCTTGAGATAAATTAATTACCTTAATTATGCCGCTTAAGGAACGTTATAGACCCAATTAGGAAAAGTTATATAATTTACCAAATACCATATAATGACTGTGAGATCAAGTAGATTGATCAAATTAGGAGATCGTAGTCACTTAGGTTATCGAAACATAGGAATTCAGGTAGGTCTAAAGTAAGTGAACAAGAAAGTGGGTGACTCTCACTTTGTTTGTTTTCCCACTAACAAATAGACCCAGCTACCGTCACCCTAAATGCTATGAGAGTCCCAATTCACAGCATAACAGGACCACTGAATGAGTCTTAAGCGCTATATATGCTTTCTTGAAGTCTCATTCAGAACAGAGGCTTAAAAACTAGAACCATATACGACCAAAGAGACACGAGCAGAACGAAATATAGGTTCAACATTTCATATTTAAAAACCGCCATACATAAAGTCGCGTCATATGTCAAAGTATGTTCGATATTGCATTACTAGAAGACTTTCGAAAGTACACGTATGTTTACTTTCTCCAAAATAAAATTATAATAATTTTACATGCGTATATACATATATATATATTCCCTTACCTGGTGCTTTTCTAAAATCATATGGGGCTCCACGTATTGTGAAATTCCTCACATAATAATTATCTTCCGTCAATTCTGAAACAATGGTGTGGAAATAAGTTATATAGTTTGACTGTGATAAATATTCCACAGACCAGGTTTCACCCCAACCTGGGAAATCAATTTTGCATTCATCAGCATCGTGTCCTTCATATGTCACAGGATCATACTTTAGACTGTAAATTTATCGAAAGCTCAAAATACTTTAAACAACAATCAGCTTACTTGAAGTAGGTAGCTAATCTTTCAGGCAATAAAAGGTAAAACCAATTAAACCATAGACTGAATGCAGTAAAAGCTTGCTTATTGGTTTTCGGTTCACAGTACGCTTGACTGCCTCCCAAACCAGGGATCAAAATTATTGGATATTTAATGCCAAAAGTTTTATTCATTACAGTTAGCATTTTTTGACTGTTCACTAAGACAAAACTGAACAAAAGCCATATAATGAATTGAGTAGATGGCATTGTGCATTTTTAAATTACTAGACTCATTCATTATATATATATATATATACATATTTACATTATGAGTTCGTCTGTCGATCATCATATGTGAGCAAATTCTTTGTCTAAGTAGCGAAAAAGACCCGTTAATCACATATGATAGAATAGCTGATTAACAACTGTTGTTCTTTTTTGCATCATATTTTCTAATTCCTAGCTGAGAGACTATCTGATCTGTTGAGAATTCGAAAATTCAGTCAGTAACACTGAATTATAGATAATTTCATCCACGTTGTTTTGCTTTTAGTCAGGCTGTCTGACGACAATTGCATTTATTGGTTTTATTCAATTGCGAAGATGATAAAATTTCCGAATATTTCAGTGAATCAATTAGACACAATATGGTAGTTGTAAGAACAGAAATATTCCTGCCTTGACGATTATAAGTTCATAACCTGACAGAGTGACACTCACAAGCATATTACTTCACGTAGAGTTTTCCATTTCATAACAGGCATAATACTTTGATGTGGTTGTGTTCCGTGAGCTGCATGGTTAATTTGCGAAGCTTTCATCACCCTACTGGGTGATATCTTCAGCGCATACTTCAAATTGAAGAGAACAAAACCACATCAAAATCATCCACCTGAGCTACAAATCTTCTCTATCATATCCAGGCATAATATTGTTCACACACATTGTTCTCAGAAAATTCAACAAAAACAACAATCATTTACCCTTGCCAGGGTATAGTAAAATGATGAATGTAATCACCTGTGTTTATGCTTTAGCTCATATCACGATTAAGGATCAAAATTGTTGAATACATCGAATGTGAACAACAACAATCCTACAAACAGATTCAGTCTAGAAGTGGTAGTTTATGAAAACGATTGAAATTATCATTTACAGAAGAGATTCGAGGATATAGTAATAATAATAATAACGACAATCATGTTCACAGCAATATCGATGGGTTGTGTATTTCACCTTATTTGCGACTCGTCTGTTACATGTGTCTGCATCTCTAGTGAGTGATGATCCGAGTACAACCAGCCGGTCAGTCTCAAAGAGAAGAAAACGCATTTTCTCGACTCCACTGTAGACTACTATCAAACAATCCAGGGGACGGGATGGAAAAGGCGGAGACGTGGTGGTCAGTCCATGACGTGGCGTCGTGGAATGAGGGATTTTTGTGCTAGATTCGCATCGGTTGGTGTGTCACGACTCCCTGGTTGGGGTCCGAGAGATAGCTCAAATCGATGGCTCGAAACGTTATTGGATATGGCAAAGAATCGTAATCAATGGCGAATATGTTGCAATTTCCTTCTTTCTTCCCTTCCCAATGATAGTTAACGAACACTGTCTTGAACTTGTTAAGCATGACTGTCTTCCTTCCAGATGAAGTTCTTTATCCGTTCTCTACTCATATTTCTTTTTCTTTTCCTTCTCTTTTTTTCTTTTGATCTATGTTGCATTATTATTATTGTGTGGCGCACCCTTCTTGGTGCGCCACGAGTTTTATGCGTTTAAATGAATAAATAATATCAAACAATACAATAGGATATTAATCTTCAGATATAGTAGAAGCATCCGTACTAGGAGCCGACTGACGTGTCAACCAAGCAAGTGGCCGAGCATCTCAGTTCAGCATAGTGAATTAACATGAAATACAAATCAACTCAATTTAACAAATATGAACTGAAATCAGACTGTATAAGAGTGTATCCATCACACGTGACTCACATGCAGACAATTCAAAGGTCACAACGACTCAGGTGAAGTCTGCACTACTACTAAGCTGTAGGCAGACCCTCTGCTGAAAAACAATCTACACAGAATATAAACTATGGCTTGATTGACAGATTCAACTAGACTGTCTTTACTAAATATATCGAGTTATTTGGGAAGGTGAGACGAAGAAGCATAGAAACAACACACACACACATTCTAAGTACAAGGAACGCATTAATTCATTAACAGATTAACACAAACCTACGTTATTCAATAAACAAACAGTGACATAAACTTAGAGTTTCACTTCTTCTATTCGTTCTGAGTATTTGGTCGACTTACCGTCAGCGTATCCTGTTAGTGCAGATTTGTTAATTCTCTGTGTGGCTAACCGGCATTACAAACTGCAAAAAGACGAAGTTCTCTAGCTCACAGAATCCAATGGACGGTAAATTCATTAGGAAACGTTAGTGGAACGTGCTGTCACTTCGACGCTAAATTATGTTTATAAACCACTCAAATTATTACTAGTCACTTAGGTGCCTAAGGGAACGTAGCTCTCCGCTCCAGCAGCACACCAGCATTCCACTCACTTCACCCACCGACTCATCTCTTTCCATTCAGGTTCCGCTCGGATGCCTAGCGTGCAATCTCACTTGAATATCTCCTCGGCATATGTCTTGTCTGTTTTCACTTCCTTCTACATATGTGTCAGGTGTAAGTCAATACATTAAAGAAATTAGACAGAAATACTAAGCACAGTGAAGTCTGACCACTATGGAATTCATAAATTCTACCAGCAATCACAGAATTCCCACCACCTGTAGAACTAGACACATTTGTCAACCTGTACTTGACAGTCATAAAAACACTGATCGACATCGATTAACAAAATATTCGATTTTTTCCATCGACATCTTGAATTTGACCTAGGTGTATACGATCTTGCACAACTTCACCATTACTGAGAATACGAAAGACAAACAAAACAACAATCTATCGAATCTCTATAGGAAATCGAACTATGTAGGCCTATCGAATTCGGAGATGGTGGATGTCAAGTGACAATCGCAGTATATGATTAATCGAATAAAATCAGTCAATGTGGACTAGTGGACTTCAACACACACTGACTAGAAGATACATGGATGGATTCCATATAGTGGAAAAGCACTTACGCGTGTAGGGTCTAAAACTGTCAGCACGCATTTGACTAGGATGGCCTCGATTGATACCAAATTGTGATAGAATATTTTAGGACGTAAAATTAACAACATAATTTGTATGAGTAAAAATATAAACTCACTGATACTGTAGACTGTTAAATAACTCTCATCATCATCACCACAAACACACATACACTCACAGAGTCTGGAGAGGAGTTACATGTGTACTGAAATAACTGTGTGAACCACCGAACAATCAATAAACTTCAAGTAGCATCTACTCCGAAAATTTCTCATTCGAAATTCTACTCGATAACAACTACCCAAAAGATTTTACCTGTGGTAATGTAAAGAAGAGGAAGAAGGGGGTACAATTAGAGACTGGCAAGAGAGAGGATGACGAAAAATTTCTCTCAATAGGATAGAAAAATGACACACCAGAGGTAATTAGAATGAACCTCAAAAATATTGGGATTAACATTACGTTGAAACCAATGAATCTAATTAAAAGTAACATAAATCAACTCGAAGATCTATTAAATTAAATGATGGATAGAAGTAGTAATGTAATATACAAATAGATATCTCGTGCTGAATTTCTGACTAATTATGTGCGTTAGATGTCTAGATCATAATAATAAAGTGATTATTATTATTATTATTATATCATCACTCAATATTAGAGAAAATGTACATAAACGCCTGACTAAATTTCATCCCACTAGAACACAAGCCTATAATAATTTAGAAAGAAATTCGCCTTTGGCTGCCACAGAGAAAACAAAAGCAACAGAGAACTATATACATATGTGTATTTGAGTACAAATCATAAAAGTCGGAATTGAGGAAAAGGAAAACGATTCCAACAGTTGATGTGATCACGGGCAGTAATTCTGCTCAAAATATCACCATAAATGAAAAACGTATCATTGTGTGTAAGCTGTTGAGGTATAATAATAATAATAATAATAATTTATTTTATCCATTCCACAATGCTCAAACGTTTTGCTGACACCAAATATCATTGAGGTTTCTTGAATAACGTCGAGCAGACTGCAGTTGAAAACACGTTTGTGCGTATGTGTCAGTGATAACATGACAAAGAAGTGAAAATCAAATGAATTAAGAAAATAAAAAGTGTAATAGTAAATAAGAGAATTTATGCACACAAGCGTGAAGGTCGCACTTAAAATATGTTTAGTAATACACCACTGTTGGATTTTTAGATTTCACAACAGGTCAGGGTAACAATAATGGCTGGACTCATTTCTTTTTTACACAAAGATTCAGCTGTTTCAAGCGAATTACCAAAATGCTTCTCCTGCTTAGAGTATTTGATGTCTAGTGGATTTTGCCAGCGCCTATTCGATGCCTGATATGTGAGAGCAGCGTAATCTTCTCTGCTAGCCTTATGGTCTGTTTGAACCAGGTATCTTAAAACAGAACTTTTACTGCATTTTACTACACGTTTATTTAGCCACACCAGTTGGTGTTCCCAAAAAAAGTTACATTTCTCCAGTTCCAAGACTTCAGTAACGTCCCGCAATATCTAGCTCCACAGAAGCTGTTCAATTGATTAACTGATTGATCGTTTGATTCAGTAATTGATTGATTGATTAATACAAGAAAAGGTGACCAAACTTAGTTATTTTCGCATCCTCTCTCTTGCCAGTCTCTAATTGTACCCCCTTCTTCCTCTTCTTTACATTACCACAGGTAAAATCTTTTGGGTAGTTGTTATCGAGTAGAATTTCGAATGAGAAATTTTCGGAGTAGATGCTACTTGAAGTTTATTGATTGTTCGGTGGTTCACACAGTTATTTCAGTACACATGTAACTCCTCTCCAGACTCTGTGAGTGTATGTGTGTTTGTGGTGATGATGATGAGAGTTATTTAACAGTCTACAGTATCAGTGAGTTTATATTTTTACTCATACAAATTATGTTGTTAATTTTACGTCCTAAAATATTCTATCACAATTTGGTATCAATCGAGGCCATCCTAGTCAAATGCGTGCTGACAGTTTTAGACCCTACACGCGTAAGTGCTTTTCCACTATATGGAATCCATCCATGTATCTTCTAGTCAGTGTGTGTTGAAGTCCACTAGTCCACATTGACTGATTTTATTCGATTAATCATATACTGCGATTGTCACTTGACATCCACCATCTCCGAATTCGATAGGCCTACATAGTTCGATTTCCTATAGAGATTCGATAGATTGTTGTTTTGTTTGTCTTTCGTATTCTCAGTAATGGTGAAGTTGTGCAAGATCGTATACACCTAGGTCAAATTCAAGATGTCGATGGAAAAAATCGAATATTTTGTTAATCGATGTCGATCAGTGTTTTTATGACTGTCAAGTACAGGTTGACAAATGTGTCTAGTTCTACAGGTGGTGGGAATTCTGTGATTGCTGGTAGAATTTATGAATTCCATAGTGGTCAGACTTCACTGTGCTTAGTATTTCTGTCTAATTTCTTTAATGTATTGACTTACACCTGACACATATGTAGAAGGAAGTGAAAACAGACAAGACATATGCCGAGGAGATATTCAAGTGAGATTGCACGCTAGGCATCCGAGCGGAACCTGAATGGAAAGAGATGAGTCGGTGGGTGAAGTGAGTGGAATGCTGGTGTGCTGCTGGAGCGGAGAGCTACGTTCCCTTAGGCACCTAAGTGACTAGTAATAATTTGAGTGGTTTATAAACATAATTTAGCGTCGAAGTGACAGCACGTTCCACTAACGTTTCCTAATGAATTTACCGTCCATTGGATTCTGTGAGCTAGAGAACTTCGTCTTTTTGCAGTTTGTAATGCCGGTTAGCCACACAGAGAATTAACAAATCTGCACTAACAGGATACGCTGACGGTAAGTCGACCAAATACTCAGAACGAATAGAAGAAGTGAAACTCTAAGTTTATGTCACTGTTTGTTTATTGAATAACGTAGGTTTGTGTTAATCTGTTAATGAATTAATGCGTTCCTTGTACTTAGAATGTGTGTGTGTGTTGTTTCTATGCTTCTTCGTCTCACCTTCCCAAATAACTCGATATATTTAGTAAAGACAGTCTAGTTGAATCTGTCAATCAAGCCATAGTTTATATTCTGTGTAGATTGTTTTTCAGCAGAGGGTCTGCCTACAGCTTAGTAGTAGTGCAGACTTCACCTGAGTCGTTGTGACCTTTGAATTGTCTGCATGTGAGTCACGTGTGATGGATACACTCTTATACAGTCTGATTTCAGTTCATATTTGTTAAATTGAGTTGATTTGTATTTCATGTTAATTCACTATGCTGAACTGAGATGCTCGGCCACTTGCTTGGTTGACACGTCAGTCGGCTCCTAGTACGGATGCTTCTACTATATCTGAAGATTAATATCCTATTGTATTGTTTGATATTATTTATTCATTTAAACGCATAAAACTCGTGGCGCACCAAGAAGGGTGCGCCACACAATAATAATAATGCAACATAGATCAAAAGAAAAAAAGAGAAGGAAAAGAAAAAGAAATATGAGTAGAGAACGGATAAAGAACTTCATCTGGAAGGAAGACAGTCATGCTTAACAAGTTCAAGACAGTGTTCGTTAACTATCATTGGGAAGGGAAGAAAGAAGGAAATTGCAACATATTCGCCATTGATTACGATTCTTTGCCATATCCAATAACGTTTCGAGCCATCGATTTGAGCTATCTCTCGGACCCCAACCAGGGAGTCGTGACACACCAACCGATGCGAATCTAGCACAAAAATCCCTCATTCCACGACGCCACGTCATGGACTGACCACCACGTCTCCGCCTTTTCCATCCCGTCCCCTGGATTGTTTGATAGTAGTCTACAGTGGAGTCGAGAAAATGCGTTTTCTTCTCTTTGAGACTGACCGGCTGGTTGTACTCGGATCATCACTCACTAGAGATGCAGACACATGTAACAGACGAGTCGCAAATAAGGTGAAATACACAACCCATCGATATTGCTGTGAACATGATTGTCGTTATTATTATTATTACTATATCCTCGAATCTCTTCTGTAAATGATAATTTCAATCGTTTTCATAAACTACCACTTCTAGACTGAATCTGTTTGTAGGATTGTTGTTGTTCACATTCGATGTATTCAACAATTTTGATCCTTAATCGTGATATGAGCTAAAGCATAAACACAGGTAAATACATTCATCATTTTACTATACCCTGGCAAGGGTAAATGATTGTTGTTTTTGTTGAATTTTCTGAGAACAATGTGTGTGAACAATATTATGCCTGGATATGATAGAGAAGATTTGTAGCTCAGGTGGATGATTTTGATGTGGTTTTGTTCTCTTCAATTTGAAGTATGCGCTGAAGATATCACCCAGTAGGGTGATGAAAGCTTCGCAAATTAACCATGCAGCTCACGGAACACAACCACATCAAAGTATTATGCCTGTTATGAAATGGAAAACTCTACGTGAAGTAATATGCTTGTGAGTGTCACTCTGTCAGGTTATGAACTTATAATCGTCAAGGCAGGAATATTTCTGTTCTTACAACTACCATATTGTGTCTAATTGATTCACTGAAATATTCGGAAATTTTATCATCTTCGCAATTGAATAAAACCAATAAATGCAATTGTCGTCAGACAGCCTGACTAAAAGCAAAACAACGTGGATGAAATTATCTATAATTCAGTGTTACTGACTGAATTTTCGAATTCTCAACAGATCAGATAGTCTCTCAGCTAGGAATTAGAAAATATGATGCAAAAAAGAACAACAGTTGTTAATCAGCTATTCTATCATATGTGATTAACGGGTCTTTTTCGCTACTTAGACAAAGAATTTGCTCACATATGATGATCGACAGACGAACTCATAATGTAAATATGTTATATATATATATATATAATGAATGAGTCTAGTAATTTAAAAATGCACAATGCCATCTACTCAATTCATTATATGGCTTTTGTTCAGTTTTGTCTTAGTGAACAGTCAAAAAATGCTAACTGTAATGAATAAAACTTTTGGCATTAAATATCCAATAATTTTGATCCCTGGTTTGGGAGGCAGTCAAGCGTACTGTGAACCGAAAACCAATAAGCAAGCTTTTACTGCATTCAGTCTATGGTTTAATTGGTTTTACCTTTTATTGCCTGAAAGATTAGCTACCTACTTCAAGTAAGCTGATTGTTGTTTAAAGTATTTTGAGCTTTCGATAAATTTACAGTCTAAAGTATGATCCTGTGACATATGAAGGACACGATGCTGATGAATGCAAAATTGATTTCCCAGGTTGGGGTGAAACCTGGTCTGTGGAATATTTATCACAGTCAAACTATATAACTTATTTCCACACCATTGTTTCAGAATTGACGGAAGATAATTATTATGTGAGGAATTTCACAATACGTGGAGCCCCATATGATTTTAGAAAAGCACCAGGTAAGGGAATATATATATATGTATATACGCATGTAAAATTATTATAATTTTATTTTGGAGAAAGTAAACATACGTGTACTTTCGAAAGTCTTCTAGTAATGCAATATCGAACATACTTTGACATATGACGCGACTTTATGTATGGCGGTTTTTAAATATGAAATGTTGAACCTATATTTCGTTCTGCTCGTGTCTCTTTGGTCGTATATGGTTCTAGTTTTTAAGCCTCTGTTCTGAATGAGACTTCAAGAAAGCATATATAGCGCTTAAGACTCATTCAGTGGTCCTGTTATGCTGTGAATTGGGACTCTCATAGCATTTAGGGTGACGGTAGCTGGGTCTATTTGTTAGTGGGAAAACAAACAAAGTGAGAGTCACCCACTTTCTTGTTCACTTACTTTAGACCTACCTGAATTCCTATGTTTCGATAACCTAAGTGACTACGATCTCCTAATTTGATCAATCTACTTGATCTCACAGTCATTATATGGTATTTGGTAAATTATATAACTTTTCCTAATTGGGTCTATAACGTTCTTAATGCGGCATAGTTTGTATCTGAATGAGTTAGCTGGTTTATTTGAGTATTAGCTTGGTTTGACTGTGTACGAGCAGTCAATTGTTCTCGAAATGTCATTCAGTTGTTTAATACTGGATCACTGTATCCTATGTCAAATCAACTTTTCTAATGTGGAATTGTATTCTACTGCAGTGCCCGAGTTCTAACCTTGTTTATTAATAAAAATTGAACGCCTCCTCCTAATGAATTTTAAACTGTGTCATAAAATAGAGTTTTTAGTCTATGTACTGTTGATTATTTTGAAACGTGAATCAAATTTATGGCGCCACCAATTTTCTATTTTGTTGCTTTCTTCAGGGACATAATCTTGGCGAAAACCATTTGATCAAACTATCATTATTACACCGCCACTTACTAGACACTTTAAGAGGCTTACTATCAGTAGATGATTTGATTTTACGGTTATTAAATCATCTTTACTTCAGAGACAAATTTTAGCATGTATTTGAATAAACTCCATTAGGCTTGACTGCCTTATTCCTCCCTGCTTTGTGCTGCGAAAAAGTATAGTACCTCGTAACCTCGAGGTCCTGGATTCGACTCCCGTTGCAGTCATGGTTGCGTACTGTTGAAGCGTGCCAAACCAGAGTGAATCAGATGTCCAGTACACCCTAGGTCTGAGTATTTCATCAACTGATGTCTGCCCGTGAACGAACTTGAAATCATTCATATCCCTGTAAACTGACACTTGAAAATTACGGAAGTTTCTTGAGGTCTATAATTTGTTTATTTACTTGGTGAAATTAATTTCCCGGCTAAGGTCATCTAATAAAAAGTTTTGTCAGTCAGATGGATAGTTTTGTTGTTAACGTGTTCTCAGAGTTAGGTGGTTTACTGTTAAATTTCTGTCTTTTCTTAATATACTACACTCACCAAAATCTTTTTCAAAACTGAATCTGCATTGAGATCCAAATGAAAATAATTTGTCTAGCACTTTTGATCAAAAACATTCAGTGTGTTTGGTTCATTGCTATCTGTTCAGTTTCCCCTTGCAATCCAACTACTATTGAACCATTGAATGTCATGATTCAAATATCTGAAAATATTTCTAGAAAGATTACTAAAATAAGGATTCTACTGAGTACTTTCATCCTACCTACTTCATAATATGCACGTTCACTGTTTAGTGTAGTCAGGAGGTTATGCATTTTTAAAAATATGGTCTAATGGCTATACTTCTGTAGTTCATTGCTGATTTTTGCACTTCGACTTCGTGGCCATTAAGCCGAGTTTACTCAACTAATTTACTGGTGCAAACTAAGCCCCCCCCTCCGCTGCGTGGGTGTATCAGAGACATAATTTAACATTACCAAATCTAAGGACAATACTTTGATACTACGACAGAGAGAATAATTTTGTCTGAGGTCATTTAATAAAATGTCAAAAATGTTACTTATTAATGCATCGCACAGAGTATAAGCATAGTCATAATAAGAACAATTTTCCAATTCTGAAGCGTTGATTCCATTCGTCCGATTTCCACAGTAATGAAGGGATTATAGAATATAATAGATTTTTAAAATTGGTATACTGTACCAGAAAATATGGATGGATATTGGGTTATAAGGTTTCAGTGGACTCTATAGACAAAAGGAATAAAGGTGAAAGTATGATATATGCATGCGATGAGGCTGTGCTCAATACTGAGATGCTCACAACTGACTACGTTCGTTGAAAGGAGAGTTTATTATGGAATTTACGACGAATTAGTCGCATGTGATGAAAGGCTCAAAAACACACATTTTCACCCTCACAAAAAAGACGGAAGGTAACGTTAATATTGCCAAAACTGAATCCTGAACGTTTAAAATGTCCTCTTATAACAGTAAAACTGTGTTTTAAACGTCATCTATTGAATAAACGCCTTTTTTTAGATTTACGACGAGTAGACTGACTAAGGTGAAATATATATGCGTCACGTGAAACAATGTATAAGTTACTACGTAAATATCAAAGTAACACGGTAATCGATACAAGTGTTACTCTGATTCCTATTTTTAATCTACAATATTAGAACTAGTATAATGCTTGTCGTTTCTTTCACAGAAAAGTTAAGCTTCTGTCGAAGTGTATGTGGGTAAATACAAGTTTTACACAACATAACTTTGACCATTAGAATAGACACTTTCCTGACATACCAAACCACACTTTCATTGCTGAGGTGGTAAACAATGTTCACAGTTCAGGGTTTGGATCCTCTGATCGAAGTGTTCTGTGATCAGCTCCCATTCTATGTTATCATCAGTCTCTCAGAACTTCACGGGTAAATGAAAAAATTCAGTGATGCATGAATATCCATAACACGTTGTTTCATGTAACGATTGGTTGAAATCGCTCCCTAGAACTTCTCAAGAAACGTAGACACCGATTTGTTGGTTGTTTTTCGTTGTTTGAAGGGTATATAGAGGTTACTTTATTACCTTCAGCTGACATCTAGTTTATCAAACAATTAGTCAAGGTTTCCACTATTCAGTAGTACAACGTTCATCAGGAACGTATGAGGTCTGGATTCAACTCCTAACAACTACCAGTTCACTAGCCAATAGTAGGTCGAGAAAAAGACACCACTACTACTGAAGCCTCAAGAACTTGAAGCTGTATGTATCTCTCGAGACGAAAGGAATGAAAAAGATGAGAGATTCCTTAATTTGATAAGTTTACTCCTGTGTACTACATGTATTTCACGCCAATTTATTGATGTGTACTACTAAATATTAATTAGTTTGTTTGCTCGGTTCAAAATAACTTCTAACTATTATTACTCTATTTCTGTTAAAAAGTCTCCTTCTCTGAAAAGTATTAGGAGGTGATGCCTGTCTAACAGTCTTAATATAAGGCTGAGCACAACACATGTTGAATGACTATTCAGTTTAGAAGGAGGTGAAATAGTAGATTATGAGCAATCATAAATATTCAGTGTAATTCCCTTTCTCATAAAGATCTGATGGACTGATGACAGTGTCTCAGATCATCAATCAGAAGTGCAGCTTGCACAACAGCACAATTTGAAGACATTATTGACTATAACAAAATGAAACCAAAGCCGTAGGACAATGCCACATGTCATGTGTTCCAGAATGGAAAACTCAGAGAAGCCTTTGGGGTGTAGAGAATAGTAATAAGACGAGACTGCCTACAATCACCGACGACATCCCTGACTTTGGTGGATTAGATCATACTCCAGGTAATAAGTGGTGAGAAGACAGAAATACATTGGACGGATAAGAGGACTATATGCGAAAAACAACAAATTGTCAGAAGAAGCAAAGAAAACACAGCTTCTAATGGAAATGGAGAAGGCAGAAGTGATGAAAAAACCTAGCCAACAACAACAACAAGCACCAATCAACGCCAACGGGAGAAATTTAGAAGAAATCACTTCTTCGACTCACCACATTAGCAGCATTGTTTCAGATACATGCTGTGATACAAATGAGGATGTCGAATTCAGCTAGGATCTGAGAAGCAGGTCAAAGTTCCAATAATCTCTGAAAAGCGTGGAAGTCTGTTGAACTCGGAATAAATAACAAGATTAGGAGTTCCAACACTAATGTCAATTCAGTCCTTCTATACAGGCCTCAGAAGCTTGTCGTGTGCGTTGGGAAATTCATCTTCAACAGCCAGCTGCAGACTTTTATTGACAACAGCCTTGGTTGCATGCTGAAGATCAGATATCCAGTCAGAGAGGATAAGCAGCAAGGAACCTTCGGAATGAATCAACCGAATGCGTATAGCGCAACAAATATGCATAAGCAAATGGAAATGGATTGGACATACACTGACTAAACCTTCATTTGGTATGGTATTCCAGGCTGTCGATTGTAACCCGAGTGAGAAACGACGATTTGGTTGAGGATCCAAGGATGACATGGAGGTGACCGCATGAAGAGCAGATGGAATCCTGTCGGCAATCGTAGAGCCAACTAGAAAGGATTTCGGTGAACAGAATGGAATGCAGATGTGCTGTTGAATTCGTATTTTCTACTCAGAACCCAAGGGAATATTAATACTAAGAATAGAAATTGAATTTCTCAGGTCACTAAGTAATGTAGGCGTCAACGATTAAAATATTTCAACTCTGCACATTTTAAATTCTCTCCGCTATTTATACTGAAGGCGATTAAAGATACCAGTGCTACTATTAAAATATTTAGATGTCCACTGTAACTTAGCGTTTGCAAGACATAGCTAATAACGGAAGTTCAAAGCAAAACTTATCGGTAGTCATAAGGAAGCAAGATCATCGGCTGTAAGTGTAATAATAATATGTAAATTTATTTCGCTGCTGAGGTACACTCTCACGATATGAATTTAACTAAGCTGAGTAATTCATTTAGCAGTTTAACTACTACTGTGTCAATGGTACGGTGGTCGTATCATGAAATAGGATAGACAGAGGAACAGTTATCAAGATGGTTGACCATTAAAAGTTTACTCAGCGAATCAACAGCCGAGAAATGTGGCATGAATTGCATATCGGCATTCCCGTGGCTGAAATAAACCTATTTGATATTAAAATTAGACCATGGAAACCAGTAGTAGTAGTAGTTGTTGTTGTATAAAACTGAAGTCTAAAAGGTCGTAACAGTTTTGTTTTCAATAGGAGTAAGAGATTGTGTTCAGAAGGTTATTAGCTAAACAATACTGAGTCACAGTGTTTCAGGTAAATTAAGGAATCTTATCTCATGTTGTAAGGATTAGTGTTGAAAAAACGCAGATGAACAAAATCGGCAGATACAAAAGTGAATGAAGACGAAAATTTACACACATCTGGAGTGTGTTCTCGACAAATAGTTTAATATATTAATCGACTTCATTTTAAGTAGAATTATCTATTTCAACGACTGTAATAAACATGAAGGACAGGTATAACTTAAAAACTAACTATTGATCGTATGAATAAGTCTGTATTAATTTCAAATTGACGAAGACAGTAATGTCATAGCAAAAAATAGCACAAATTTAATTTCATGAATGACAGTGAGGCGAAGAATGCTGTGAACTAAAAGTGATTATAGTAATAAATAAAAGTGACTAACAGTATAGTGGCAAACACTAACGTTTTGGAAATGACCATGCCTGTTAAGTTCTAGATACATGTGATTCAGTATTCAAAGCTTTATTTCAAATCTTTGTTTTCCATAAATTTCTTCAATTTGTTATATTTCAGTCTCTTTCAACAACTGCCTTTCTATCATATCTTATTTTCGGTGCCTGCCATCTCTGAACACAGAAAGATCATGCACTCAAACAATCACAGAATCATAAATATTTCACATTACTTTAGCACGTATTTCTTTTTCTGTATTTCTCCGTCTTCTTTTCCAGGAGAAAATATGCTATTCGTTCACAAAATGAAAGATCTAGTTGAAGAAACCTATAAAAATGGAATGGATCGACCAGTTGTTTTATTCGGTCACAGTATGGGAAGTTTATATACCTTAAACTTTCTTAAACATCAAACTAAAGAATGGAAGCAAAAGTATATTAAAGCGTTTGTTTCTGTAGCTGCACCACTTGGTGGAGCAGTTGAAACGTTGGTATTTATAACACACGGTAAGAAGCTTTACTAAGATTTTTGTTAAAATATATATATATATATATATATATATATATATATATATATATATATATCCATTTATCCATGGTAAATGAATTTAGTTTACTGAATGATTGAAATAGTCATAGGTGACGTTAATCAAGAGTAACTGCCTAAGTAGCAAGGGATTTATCTCTCAAAACCCGTTCAAATGAATCCCTAATGATTTAAACGACTTTTGGCACATTTTAATATCCAACACCTGATTAGTGTCTGACACACACACACACATATCTGAAATGACATCAATGTTTTTATTGATAACCCAACATTTGGAAGTGAGTATAAAAGTTTAGTGAAAATAATGTAATGCAATAAGACAAAAAGGCCCAGAAGTTATGCATTAGCTTCGATTTGTACGTTTCACTGCACAGACTAAATTTTCGGAGACATCAAAGTGCATTCTTTCCCGTCCCTGTGGATTAGTAAAACATTTGTGTGCTGACATTTGTTTAATGCAGCCATCGGAAATGTTGAAATTATTTCAATTTGAGGATCTCACTTGAATGAACCAATGCATCGTTAAGTAAATAAACACTTAGCAATGTTTTTGAAGACTGTGTCGTTCACATGGTTATCCTTACAGTCGGTTAGACTTTTAGTTATGTAGTTATGTAAAATTCTAATACTAAATTGAACACCAATATTACAAATATTACAATGATTAAGAATGACAACGTGTGTATAGCAATAAATTCTCATGAATCATGGTTGTATTAAATCCTATTCATGTTTTCAAGAGTTTGGTTTGTATTCATATTGGTTATAAACTTCAGATGGATGAATGATCACTCCAAGGACGGAGGGAGAGAAAAAAATTTGGCGTAGAAGGTTAAGTGCGTTGTATGTGTGTCAGTGTAAGTTAACACTACGACCAAATAGGAAAACACACGGTTAATTCACAAGGTAAAATACATTGTTTTTTCTAGTTCAACTAAAATATATCTCATTCAGCGACTTCATTCTCAAACTGTACTGTGGGAACGAGGAATTCAGTGACACTAGAAGTTGCTTAGTCAATTTTAAAGTCTTTATGCCAATTCATAACTTTTCATCTGATGTATATGGGGGGTAGAATTGTGATGTAGATGAAAAGTTATGAATTGGCATAAAGACTTTAAAATTGACTAAGCAACTTCTAGTGTCACTGAATTCCTCGTTCCCACAGTACAGTTTGAGAATGAAGTCGCTGAATGAGATATATTTTAGTTGAACTAGAAAAAACAATGTATTTTACCTTGTGAATTAACCGTGTGTTTTCCTATTTGGTCGTAGTGTTAACTTACACACACTGACACACATACAACGCACTTAACCTTCTACGCCAAATTTTTTTCTCTCCCTCCGTCCTTGGAGTGATCATTCATCCATCTGAAGTTTATAACCAATATGAATACAAGCCAAACTCTTGAAAACATGAATAGGATTTAATACAACCATGATTCATGAGAATTTATTGCTATACACACGTTGTCATTCTTAATCATTGTAATATTTGTAATATTGGTGTTCAATTTAGTATTAGAATTTTACATTTCAAATAAACGGATAAATGACACGATTTTGATGGACAGTGAACCTTAGACACGGATCACTAGAATAGATGAAAGCCAAACTCATAAACAGTGTCTTCTTTGGCACTGTGATTTGGCTGGGAATGATTTCTTACTTAATGTTCCTGTCGATAAACCATCTAGGATATCCATTATTTACGATAGTTGTGCGAAAGCTTTCTAATTCTAAGTCGGCCGTATCTACAAATTCTACGATTTCTGGAGCATAGAGAATAGATCAGATTTCTCTTCCCCACTAGAGGTACCCAACTATTGAATTTAGTGCACTGAACTGTAAATGTCGGCTTTCGATAGATCTACCTTTTTAACGTGTCGTCACCTCTTCAATCGAACATCACATCTAAGAAGTGAAATGCGGAGTTCGACTCTTCTTCCATAGTCAAAAGCATAGATGAGCAAGAACCGTTAAATTTTCAAGGTGACTCAGCAGTTTTACAATTTTCATCACAGGTAATGGTGTCATCAATGTATCGCTTATGCATATACAGACTTGAGACTGTTTCTTTCAATGGTCCTCTCTTCAAGCTCGCCATTAAGACATCCGCTAGGAGAGGTCCTAATGGAGATCCCATTGGTTATAGATGACATCATTAAATCTAAACTTCACATTAAGTGTACATCTCAATAAAAGCTGCTTCAGATAGTTCGTCAGCACTCCAATATTTATGCATTCAAGGTCTATGCAATCACATAAATAACAAATGGTTTGTACTAATGGTACATTAGTAAATAACTAGCAAACATCTAATGAAATCATATGCTTACCTGTCACATTAATTCCATCAACGTAACTGACGCATTTAAAAGTGTCCATAAGACTGTTTACATAGATTTGATCTTACTGGTTTAAGGATCTCAGCAAGCAGAATGATAAGGAGATTTCAGCATATCCAACATAGGTAGCATAGGGATACCATATCTATGCACTTTAGGGAGACCGCATAAACGAAAGATGGTTGAACCAGACGGCTTGAGATGTTCATGCATGTACGAAGTAATAATAGATTCGTCCTTCAACTTTTTCAAAGTTTTGACGATTCATTCTCAATACTTTCGGTTCTATCTTTCTGGTCGGTTGATTTTAAAAACTTTTCTTCGTCGCAAAGAGCACTACATAATTTGTTGATGTAATCCTCACGATTTAAAATAAATATGCTCGATCCTTTATCTAAATGAACTAATGTTATATCTTTGTTATGCGATAGTTCGTTCAATTGTCTCTTATGCTCTTTTGATATCATATGTCGTTGTTTGCATTGCGCTTTTAATTATTGAAAGTAGCAATGCATAATGGCAGACTTGAATTGTTCTAGATCTTCATTAGATGTTGGAAGTAGATTCTGTGTCTGAGACATAAGATTTTGGAACTTCACCACTGAATCTTATTCGTCAACTGTAGATGAGATTGTACAAGACTTAGGACCAAGAGATTTTATTTTCATCTGAATGTCAGACAGAGTTATATCAGAATAATTAAACACATATTTCTCCGGTGAATCCGGGAACTTCATATTAAATCCACTTCAACTCTAACCCATTAATACATCATTTTAATTGTCTTTATTATCATTATATATATTGACTGAGCAATTTCTAGTGCCATTTAATGCCTTTTCCATAATACTAATACGAATGTACAGTTTGAAAATGAAGTCGATAAAAAGAGATATTTCTTCGCTGAATGAAAAAACTGTGTTTTTCTTTAGGAGTTAATGCGTATATTTCTCAATTTAAAAGGTTAATGCAAGTTTAATGAAAAAGGCTAGGGGAATTTATATGTACAGAATGAAGGACTATATTCCTTTTCCATAGTCATAGGTTGCATCTCAAAAGAAGTTTTCTCAAACAATAAGTAGGTATTTCAGTGTTTAGTCCATTGGAATCAGTGCTGTTCATATATGTAGCATATTGTGCCAGCTGATTGAACGTTCAGAAAATAATCAAACCACATATAACGACAGCATGTTTTGATGAGAACAGTTGACATTTTCAGTGGAATAAACAAAACTGTAAGAATCTTGAACACCTACTTTCTGATTGGTTCCAGCAATACTTTGATTGTACACTAGTAACTAGTGTGATGTGTCTAGTCCTTTCTTTGGTGCAGACTGAATTCTATCAGTCAGGTCTTCAGTGTGGCCACTACGGTGCGCATTGATTTGATGATAATAGATGGAGGCAATCTGCAGGAAGCCTTAGACCTAGGTTTCGTGCTAGTTGGCACTCATCAGCAAGGTGTATCAGCAACCTTGAAGAATATGATATGATTATGAGCAATAAATTGTGCTCGAAACGTCATCAGTAAACATTACTGTATAACACTGTGAGACTTTATCAAAACAAAATTTATCCATAATGGAACTTTGAAGGAACTCATGTCCCTTCTGACATTCAAACCCGCGTCACCCAGTGCTGCAGTCAGAGACGTTACCACTGAGCTATTCGGACTCCTGACTGACCTCCTCCAGCAAGTATTGAGATGATAAGGTGAATATCATTTGATGCATATGTGTGATAAAAATGTGAACGCTTTTATCCTATTCATCATTATTAACCATTAAACTGATCTGATTAAGCTATCATCGGATGGAAATTTCACTTACAAACTAAATTTTCATTATTATTCTAGAATAAATCCATGACATTGTTTAACAGTGCGCTAGATATCACCGTGTCAACTAATTATCAACTTCAACAAGCCCAATTTAGATCACTCTTAGTAACGGCATTTAAAAGCTATTTATGCTCAAAAAATGTACTGAAAATTAGGTAGGAAGTACATTTTATGAAGCATAATCGGTTACTGTTTCCATACTTTAGTCTACAAGAAAACAAATTCCCTGGAATATATTTCCAGTGTTCCCTATGATTCATAAGTGTCTTACTGAAAGTAGTTATTAACTTCTATCCTTGTCTATTTGCTTGTATTCAGTGGATATACCCTTGTAAGCAGGCAGATGTAGCTTTTAGGAACCTCTGCCAGACTTCACCACCAAGTATGTAAGTAAGGGACGTCCTGCCAATTTCCAGCTAGTATTCAATCACTTTCGCTGTGTGAAGATAAATTCACCCTCGCCTCTCTGAATTCTGCATCCAAAAGATCTGGCTTTTACGTGACTTAACAGCACTTCTGGCTTATGATACTTGTTACTGGACCATAACGACTGATGTATTCTTCTTCAGACTGCCTATCGCCTCTTTTGTGTAATTTCCAGCGAAGTATTTTTCGATTTCTACATTCTTTTAAGGCTGGGAACAAAATTTTAAGTCTGTTGGCAGCTCCACTTGTTCAAGATCATCTAGTGTTATCACTTACGTATGACAGAACACAACTGTGGACTTATGGAACATGTATCCTAGGTTCTACTTTCTCTTAAATATGGCCGACTAGCAACAAAACTCATCATGGAATTATAATTTCCTAATAATGTATATATGTACCTAAAAATTGTCAACTACCTTCTGTCAGATACAACTAATCCCACTTTGTAAATAATTTTAGTCGTCATGATAATGTATCTGCTAGTCAGAAGTTACAAAATCAGTAATGTACAGGAAACTGAATAAAGTTACTTGATTATCGGTCACAACAATAGACGTATAAATCCATCTTTGGTGCAATCGCCTTGTACACTGGTTTTCCAAAAGTAGAAATTTCTATAATCTACTAGGAGTTAAGCTAGGTGTATCATGACTGATCCAATTAAGTTCAGTTATCTCGAAAAAATCTCGACTATGACAATGCACTGACATTTAGTCACACAATATGATGGGATAGAATAAGAGTATTATAAAGTGATATAGTTAGGTAGAGAGAGGAAAAGAGAGTTGAATAACTGAATCTTTGTTCATCAAATCAGCATCAAGCACTTACCTTCACAGCGCCACAGTGCCTACTATGAATAAATATAGGAGATTATTATAAAAAACAGTAGGCAGTATGACTATTTAAATGAAGTTGTGAAGTTGTGTGAATACGCTGATATGATAATGAATAATAAGTAGGCCTGAAAAGTAAATCCTATTGTTAATACTGTATCACTGTGTTATATGAGACGAACTTATAATGTGGAATTATATTCCATCACGGTGCCTAAATTCTACTCTTGCCTTGATCTACTATGCAGACTTTTTGTTAATTCTATCAGTTTAAAACTCATTATTACTTACTTACTTACTTCTGCATTGACAGGCAGTAACTTTGGTGTGTTTTTTCGAAGCACATATCCGTACCGTGACGTATTTCGTACAATGTCATCACCTACCACTGTATTACCAAATGCAAAATTATGGTCTAAGGAAGAGTATTTAATTATCACACCGTCTCACAAATACTCCGCTCACGATTATCGGGCTTATTTCAGTGACGCTGATTATCCTACAGGTATGTTTCTGTCTGATATATTCATATATATGCCCTGTTTAAGTTTAGTTATGATAGAGAATATTTGAAGCTCAGTTGGGTGATTTTGATGTGGTTGTGTTCTCTGAGCTGGATAGTCAATTTGTGAAGCTTTTATCGCCCTACTAGGTGACATCTTCAGCGCATACTTCAATTTGAAGACTGTTTAAGTTTGTTTCGACAATTTTTTTCACCTTTTTCTTCATACTTTTCGGTTTCGATCGGAATGTAGGGCTTCAAACTTGAACTCTTTGACGTTTCAGTAACTGTGATGCTTTGCACCACATCTAACCGTCGTTTCTTACCTGCTTCACTACAGGCCAATCGAGTCTTAAGGATATGTCGGCTGAGAAACAAAATCGGATCACGAGTACGGTTGGCGAGAATTATACAATTGAGCTAGAGATGCTGTTTCGACTGATTTAATGTAAAATAGTTCGATTTTGATTATGTGGGTTTTCAGGTTTATTCGTAGCTCTATTTAACACTGATGAGCAAATGCATAGGGTAATTACATTTCTAAAAACAGTTTTTTCCCCAATTTAGTTACTTGCACTGTGGATTTCATATTTGGTGGAAAGTATAAAAACGATTCAGAACAATATTTTCTTCTAAACATAAAGAAAAAAGGTAGATTTTCTAATAGTATTGTATTAGACTTCGTGCATTTATACCCCTTGATGAATCTGAATAAGGCAAGAACAACGGTGGTTTGTGCAGAATAACATGGTACCATCATTTATTTTGTTGGTTTCTCATCATCTGCTTGCAGCCTAAATAAATTATAAGGTTTATGTACAGAAAAGTTTTAACATATTTCCAAATTTTTCATGATGTCATTTGACAGAAATTTTCGCAATTAGTGAACAGTGCTCAGAAAATCACGCTTATGTAATTATTACACAGGCAGTTCAAGTTTAAGCAAAATGAATGTATGCATGCAAGTGTAAAGAAGTTGCGTAATAAAGACGAGAGATGCGTGAGATGATGATTGACTTATAAATTAGGTGACAATGTACTGAATTCAACTCAAATCATAGGAACTCGAGACAAGCAAAATTATACCACATCAAGTCGTGGGGGTTGAGGTTAAAGCCAAACATTATGTAGTCAAAATCAGAGAGAGAATAAAGACATCCAGTTAGCAGAGCAAACAAAGACTAATAACTGCTTCTTTCTGAACACATAAATCTTGTTTCAGGCGTTTGATAGAAATTGCTTCGGTAAACTTGGGGAAAATAGAGCTCGTATGTTTATTGATAATTTTAAAGGATTTTGTGATGTCCACCTCATGACCCGCATCGAAGAGATGTTTGGTAATAGCGCTATTATAAGAGTTTGTTCCCTTGAGACGTAGGCTTTTCGGTACATGTTCAGAAAATCGGAGGTGTGCCCTTCTTTCTGTTCTCCCAATGTAACTGCCCCTGCAGATACACGTAAATTTGTATACACAGTTGGAGTTAACATGAGAAGGGTATCTGTCAACTTTTGACTTCACCAAAAAGCATGTTGTCCGATAGGTGGGAACCAACTTAGCTGCAGGATAGGCACTGGCTAGTGACGTACTCAATCTTTTGTTGACCTTTGTTGCAATGTTTTCACGTTTAAAATCTGGTTGAATGAAGACAGGCTTTTTTCAACAAATCACAGTTGAAAAAAAGCCTGTCTTCAATCAACTAGATTTACAGACTGGTTGCCGCTGTCAAGCACAAGACCTATTTCGAAGGCTTCCTGTCTCCAACTACCTAATAACAAAAATTCAGAGTGGTTGTGACGGTGAGTTACCTAGTATGGTGACCGTATCGCAAAGTTGACTGACAGAATTCAGTCTGCAGTAAACAAAGGGCTAGGCGCATTGCATTAGTTACTAGCTAGGCTTCCTAAAGTGAGTCATCTTTACTAGGAGAACAAACTGCCATTGTTTTCTGCCCTTTTCATTTTTTCTGTCTGTTTGAAAAATGTCTTAAATACACATTGTATTCAATCGGGTCTGCAGTGAGGTCTTGTTCGTATATTAGTTACCGATATCCATAAATTTATTTTAATATTTTGGTGGAGATTTGTTTATCTTCTTCACCTTCGTCTTTAAACCACTATGTGGGTTAAATCCAAGGCTTTTAGAACTAGAAACACTTCCGTTCTCTGTCATGATTGACTATAATTCACACGTGACGTGAATACAGGGCCTGACAATTTTTGTTTAGGCAATCCTTAATACTATCCGACTGCATAATTCTATTATCATGCTAAGAGAATGGAACAATACGGATCTTGTCTATGAGTGAAGAGTTCAGATAATTCTAATATTGTTTATAAAGTCTATGAATATCAAAAGTTATCTAGCCCTTGATCAAATAACCGAAATTAGAAAGCATCAGAAACATAAACATGTCGTTTGACTCTATCTTACCAATCTAAAGTTAAAATTTTATGGTGAACATGAAAGTTTCTTTTGCATACAGAGTTCTAACTGAAAGCCGCCAAAGAGCAAATCAGCTTCTATTCTACTTAATATTTCACTTCTCAACTGGATACTGATCAATTGCCTTTTACCCTTTTATTTTTGAGGTTAGCTTGAGCCATGTATAATCTGAACATAACTTCGATTTTATTCCATGTTTGCTTACCTGGTCATCTTTTGCTCGGTATATTGAGGACAATTTTTGAAAAAGTAATGCACACCATTATGAACTGTCAAATATGCTTGTATGCATGCTCACCGAAAAAAAGAACTGTGTCGGTGGCACAGGGTTTAGGACGCTAGCCGACCACGCACATAGTCTGGGGTTCGATCCTCAGCCGACACACGCCTGATATCAATGGTCGGCGTGCTAAATTTTGGCTACCGACATAATATTGCTGAAAATTCCGTACTTGTATCAAAAATACTGTGTGGAGTTAAGCTACGATTAAAAAACATTGTGTCAGCTTTTTCATCACGAGTGATCAATACTATCCATTACAACTCACTTATAGTATCTAAGACACCAGAATCAACTAGTACACTTGGCTTTTTCGCCAATTTGGGAAGAATAAATGGTTGGATTGTGCTTGTTGTTTGAAATTCTGACGTTTGAGGAGTAAATACATTTCATTATCACTCTTTGCTTAAGGTGTGAAAGTCATCATCTGGCAAACAGGCATTGAATATATCTTAACATGAGTTTGAGCCGCTATATTTAACTGCCTTAAATTCTATAAACAGCTAATAATGACAGTTTAGTTTGTGGAAGCATGAATCATGTCCAGTATATCTTAGCTAGTTTAAAGACTAACAAGCAAACGTTACACTGATATCAGTACCTTTTATCAGCATATTCTTAAATATACATATCTGATGCATTTTTGGCTTATTTTGTTAACTTTAGGTTACAACGTTCTACAACGCTCTGAGTCGTCATTCGATCCACTTGAAGATCCACAAGATGTATCTGAACTTTACTGTGTTTACAGCACGGGACTGCTCACAGTAGATCAGCTGATTTACAAACCGCCAGGTTTATTTCGTTCTGCATTTCCGAATCAGACGCCTTTACTGCGTTATGGTGATGGTGATGGTACAGTGAATCTGCGCAGTTTACAAGTATGCAACAAATGGCCCAATGTTAAATCTTTCGAATTAACCGGTTCCCTTCACTTGTCAATACTGAATGACAAACGACTTATTGATCTTTTAAAAGAGGAAATCACGAGATAACCGTTTTTCATGAGATGAATATATATATATATATATATATATATATATATATATATATATATATATATATATATATATATGTAAGATTATTGTTAAACAAAGTTAAAAAATGTATATTTTTGTTTTCACTTTTTGTTAGGATATAAGAAATCGTTGTGACCAGAGTCAGTTTTCTGTCTAATCACCAATTTTTCTCCCCTCAAAAGTAGAGAAATACTTTTATCTAGTGCTTGTGGTGGTGGTGGTGGGGGCATATAAGCAATCAATCAGTCTCTAAAATAAATTTACCTTGCCTTCTTCTCTGCCTTTATCATAGAATAAAACAATCTGAATTTTCTCATGTGGTTAGTGTTGTGCACGGTATAGTTTGATTCAGTAGTACGTATTTGGAGGGGAGAGACTGTCACAATTTCAAACATTGCGTTTGGCTTTTGTTTTAAAGGTGCCTTATCGATTTAATTCACATCAGAAATATCTGTTGAGCTGTTTGTTATATTATTATGTACGAAAAGGCCTCGCGATAACGTTTACCGTCACCCGTTCTATCAACAATATGCATCTGTATCCTCTGTCAGTTTATTTTGAAAGGGTAAACACTTGGAGCATAACTTACTAAAGTATGGGATCCTTGCCTATACTATGGTGTGACCGAGTGTAAATATACGCTAATGATATATAACGGACGATAATGTGTAGTGAGAGCAGCCTGCTAGCCAATTGGTTGACACTAATCTACGTCAATGTCTAGGTCACTAATGTGACCCGTGAGAAAATATGAACATGGCTGTTTCAACAACCAATCACAGCAAACTTAAACGTGGGCAAATATCATTCGCAGATAGATGGCTCCCCTTTCCGAGGAACTCGAAAACAACCAATCAGAAGACTACGTTTGTCTACTTGACTAGGCTATAATAATGTATGTGAAATTTATATAAATACGTGTTGATTTCCTTAATAAAATAATCTGTTGCCTGGCCCTTGTCTTCTGTTGTTACAAATGTACAAACTGGTACTTCTGAGAACTTAATTTGTTCTGACAAGAAGAAGGCAAGTCAGAAGACCACCACGTTCACGATGATACGTGTATATTCCACAAGGGAAATTAACTGTCACACAAGAGTGTGAGTGGAAAAGTGTGAAAGAGTGTGGGTTAACTGTACAATGCAACAGTATATATGAAAATGACTAACACACATGAATAAGGCATTAAGAAGAAAAATTTCGCGAGGTGATATCATTTTCATGCAAATTTATATGTTTGTATGAAATATATATATATATTATTTCGTAGTTCCTTTACAACCGTTTTACAACTAACGTGGTTAACAATATTGATTTGATGGTATTAGATGGTTGGAGGAAATCGGCAGGAGGCCCTGGACCTAGGTTTCGTGCTAGTTGGCACTCGACTGCAAGGCCTATCTGCAACCTTGAAGGAACTCATGTCCCTTCTGAGATTCGAACCCGTGTCACCCAGTGCTGCAGTTAGAGACGTTACCACTGAGCTATTCAGTTCCGCGATTGACCTCCTGTAGGACTGTAGTGAATATTTTGATTTGACAATAGTAACTAGTGTGATGCGTCTAGTCCTCTGGTTGGTGTAGACTGAATTCTATCAGTCAGGTTGTAATGTGGCCACCATTCTAGCTAGCTGGCCATCACGGTTCACATTGATTTGATGGTATTAGATGGTTGCAGGCAATCGGCAGGGTGAGGCGGGTTCGAATCTCAGAAGGGACATGAGTTCCTTCAAGGTTGCAGATAGGCCTTGCTGACGAGTGCCAACTAGCACGAAACCTAGGTCCAAGGCTCCCTGTGGCCAATTGCCTCCAACCATCTAATACCTTCAAATCAATGTGCATCGTGATGGCGAGCTAGCTAGAATGGTGGTCACATTACAACCTGACTGATAGAATTCAGTCTACACCAATCAGAGGACTAGACGCATCACACTAGTTACTAGTGTCAAATCAAAATATGGTTAACAATAATAAAATAAAGGTCATGACAATTACTCAGTTATGTAAGAAACAAAAATACATACTATGCTAATAACCAATCATATTTAGATAGGCCATGTACTCCAGGGTAGGTGAAGATTGAAATCTATTGTTTTTTGTACACATAGTTTAGGCTGTATGTGATTAATCCAAAGTGCTTCCATCATCTTTAACAACTTTGAATTAGAGTTATGTGAAATAAATGTGAAACAGTCATTAATACATACATGAACCAATAAGATAGAGGGTATTTATTTGGTGGATGGTGACTAGCAGTGGAATCCAGGATGCGCATTTCGTCCACTTCGAGCACTTCGGTCCAATCAATCGACGGGAAAATCAAAAATTCAATCCAATAATTAATATGACCCGTTGCACAAGAGGTGACTCTCGTGGCCCAAGTGGTCTAGTGGATAACGCTTTGGCGTTTGAAACTATGGGCACTGGGTTCGAGGCTCAGTGGGAACATCATCACTCACTGAGAAATGCACGTACATCCAGATGACGAGTCCCAAATAGGACGAAATGCGCATCCTGGATTCCACTGCTAGTCACCATCCACCAAATAAGTACTAACTAAATGCCCAGACATCGTCGAAGCATCTGCACAAGAAGCCGACAAGTCAACCTGAGACCGACCACTTCGGTCCAATCAATCGACGAGAAAATCAAAAATTCAATTCAAGATAGAGAGTAGTTTTCTTATCATCATTGGATTCTGATTGGTTGTAATGTCATATGACAAAAGGTCATACATTGTTTATGTAGTTAATGGACAGATAAGCATATTGTACGTTATAATGGAATAACGATCAATATACATACAGCAAATATATCAGACTGTCAAAACAAAGCAGGCATCATGTGAGTACATATCACCTACTTAACCTATATCTTTTAGTACTCGCCAGTAAGAGAATCAACATTCTCAGCAGTACTGTCAGTGTATATTAAAAATAAAATAAAACAAATTGGTAGAATAGAGATTACAACCAAGCCCTGTGTGAAGTTATGAGAAATCCTGACTAAAGGTTTTACGTTACCAGTCGAGAGGAAGATTATCAAATAGCTTGTGGTATTATCCGCTCCCTTCTGAAGACTAAAATTATCGTTTACTATATCAATCAACACTTTACTGTCTAGGCGAAAGTACCAATCGAATTCAGTGAACTAGGTTTTGAAATGATAGTGAAGCTTTTTAGCTTAGGTGAATGACTTTGTTATGGCTAAATTCTCTCCAGAGGGAATTCCGCGTTGAAGGTGTCTGAAAGGACAATGAAGGATTTCCATTAAAACCACCCGGCCCAGATAATGCAACCACATCAAGATAGACTAAGTTTGTCGTGTGTCTAATAATTAAGACGATGCTTCAACATTGTGCACTGATTGCATTTTTAGGCTTCTATCACGTTATTAGTGCCTATGGAATAATTAAAACTCCGCATTGACATAAGCCTACCTATTAATTGTGTTTCCTGAAACACAGAGTCTGTATAGCCAGTAACCGAATACCAAAAGTCATTAGTCAACAGTGGTGACTGGACTTCATTCAACACATTAGGACTCATATTTAAAAATTATATTTGTACGAGTTGATCACGGATTGATATCAGTTAGAGAACCATTGAAAACTAGGGAGTACTGGACAGCTGCTGTTTCATCCTAGTTTGGGAATCATTATTATTTTTTATTTTATTTTTGGTAACAGCTTGATTCCACACTGTACTCACCCACTGGGATTCCAACCCAGGACCTTCCGGTTACAAGTCAAGCTAGCTAGTATACCATTCAGCCACTGGGACGCGATTCAATGGCCAACTCATGAATTCCAACTTCTACCGATTCGTGATTTAGCGCGACCCCAACCATTGTCTTCGGTGGGACATCCATCCACGCACGTGACATCTAATTGGACCTCACTGGTCACGACTTCTCACTAGAACTCAGGAAACTCCAACCTGTAGCAAGTCACTAGCCAGCATTAGATTATTTTTCTATAGTTTGGTTTGTAAGGGTTAGTTATGTTTTTACGAGTTGATCTCTAACTGATATCAATCCATTATCAACTCGTAAAAACATATCTAACCCTTACAAACCAAACTATAGAAAATTATATTTGTAAAATCTCAGTGAATGTAAAATAAGTAATCCCAACTTTTTGTTCAGCAAACTGGTTCGAACTCCTTTAGAGACACTAATCAGAATTAACATAACAGAGGTTTATTTATAAAGTAGATATCTCTCGTTTTTAAAAACTTTGTCCAATCAAAGAAGTCATGAAACAGGTATCAAAATACAATTAGCAAAATTGCATGGAGTGTGATCAGAATTTGACCTCAGATTTATGCATTTTTTTTACTTCTCACTCGGCGCCTAATTATTTTGGAACTATTCAGTCAAATTTTGATCACTGTTCCCACGATTCATTTGGATTCATTTCTAATTAGGCTAATAATATCAGTAACAGATTAGCTTTCATCAAAATTGAGTACATGTTTTCCAGCGAGACAGAAAATCCGTTATCATGAATTTTTTGGCAATAAGAGAACAATCACAAGAAATCATCTGAGTCAACATATTTTTTTTGTTTACTACATTCAATGCAATGAAATTCTTTTAATTTTAGTCAAATTTTTTTGATGAATTGTTCAGTGTAAATCACAAGGAAACACCATACGTTGACAGTCACTATTTTAGTAGGATGTGAATTACATGAGTGGTGTTAAGCAGGAATAAAATTTACAACAATACAGTTTCACATTACTGAATCATCCGATTGTCATCATTTGTTTACAACGTGAGATAGATTTGACACATCAGAGTTTGCAAAAAAATATTTATTTATTTATGTAATTTAGTCAAGCTCAAAGGAAGAAATAGAGGATTTGGATCGATAGAATTTTATCAAACTCACAGGAGTTAAACCAAACAGTTTCAACAGATTGGTAATGGTTCACATAATGTATGAACCTGATAACCGATTCGTGTACATGGTGT